AGGTGAAGTAAGAAGAGAGAGGAAAGGAAAAAAAAGAGAGAAGAGATGCATGAACCCTAAGCTGCATTAGCCTATTGTCACTTAGGGCCTCGTCACACCTATTGGGCCGGAACCCAAGACTGTGATCCTTCTCTGACTGCTCTCTGCTGTTGTCGACGCCAATTACCGAGGATCTAGTAGCATATGTATCATATCACTTTATCAAGAGAAGAAACACTCAGGTAAATGTATCGTTCTGGCAGGTCAGAACATCTACAGAAATACTGCCGGACTAAAACAAAAGCTAATTTCTTGACGACAATACATGATATTTATTGGTCCAGCCATCCAAATAGAGCAAGGAAAAGACTGTATGCAAGCTACCAACCACCGTCAATACATCACATTCAATAACAACAGGTTGAATTATACATTAGGACAGTTTTGACTACGAGACAGCGTTCTGACATCAGACAGCAACATCCTCAGCCAGACGAGAAAAGCCGCCTGACACCCTGAAGAATCTACCTCCTCACAGGAGGTGCGCTGCCTCGCCCAACAGGACCACCGCCACGACCAGCAGCAGCCTAAAAATTGACAGGCAAAAGAGTTTATAGGAACTATCAATTATCAAGTGATGAATCAATGAATGCACGTATATCTTTGATTCTATGAAATCACACAAAATGAAACTCTAACGAAAATCACACAAAAGTGCTTCGAGATGTTGCGTAGTTCACTTCACCAAGATATTTTGGATTTCACTACTGTCAGGTCCATGAGCCCATCTCTACTGACAAGATGCACTATAGAGTTCACAAAATGATTAAAAGAACGTGTTGTGCAAGCTTATTTCTTCATTCCCTGCAAGTTCGACAAGACAAGAAACTAAACTTGACAATAGTGATGACACAGTGTTCAGGTGGAATTGGAAACCTTTCAATTCCATTATAAACACAGTTTCAGTGATCAAAATAAGAAGCTCAAAATCCAGGCCAGCGGGAATCTTTCAACCATGTAAGAAGCTCAAAAGAAACCATCCTTACAAGTAAAAGAAAACCACTGAAAGAAGTGAGTGGCACTCAGATTATGTCTTGAAAAGCAATTAACCCAAAGAAAAAAAAGATCAGCACCCAAGGTCCCTTCCTACTGTTCCCTCCCTCCCAAAGAAAAGGAAAAAAAACATATGTTTTACGATGGGAGTATACAACCATGATTTTTTTACACTTCCAGCTGAAAAAAGAGAACACTGAAGCTAGCCATGAGGTTCAATACCAAATAAAGGAATGATATTCAAAATTCATTCAGTTTAACAACATCACAATGGTATCTAATGAAGCTACAATTTACTTTGGTGCCAAAGCGCATCCTAATTTCATATATTTGAGCATGTCACATTTGTCCACTCCACCACATTACATTGGTTTTATCGTTTAAAAGGAGAGCGGAAAAAGAAACCCTACCAACAGTCTCATTTACCCTCACAGACTCATGGTACCAGCTAAAGCGAAGGACATGGAACTAAAATTCCTGTTATGTTCTGATGGTCAAAAGATGGTTTTAACCTCAATGAAACTAAAACAGCTGCAGCATCCGTACCAGTTCATATTGCTCCCAAGTCTATCAATAACCCAGTCTGAACTCTGAAGTCTTAACAGAAAATGTCAATGCTCAACACTTTCTTTTTAATCATTGATAACAAATGCTCATTTTTTCCCTACTCAACTAACCCTAGACAGTTTGTTCAACTTCCCCCAATGCCAATAGAGTAACACTAACCCCACAAATTCCATCCATGTAGGCATCTATCATAAAGAGAAGAACATCCCCATGAACAAAGGTTTACAAAATAGTCACTATCTTAATATAAAAACATACCAGTAAAAATTAATCTGCTCTACATATAGGTCACTATCTTAATATAAAAAACATAGCAGTAATCATACCCACTGTCTGACTGATTTTAGGCATCAAGACCAAGAGAACTGCAACTTACGAAATCATGCCCTCCTACCTCATGTATTTCAAAGCAAAAACTACTGAATTATATCATTTTTCTATATTAACGTTAGATTAACAAAACATTCATGGTTCTGGATTCATGTCTGCAGTGCTTATTTACTCCAATGTATCACAAAACTTTAAAGTTAAAAATGGTCTTACATAGAAGACAAACAAGTCAATTCCAGAGTGAAGAAAAACTATGCTATATACATATTGCTTTTATTAAAAGATGACAATATATTTTTTAGGAAAACTCTCGATTTTCCCAAGGAAGCAGTATTAGGGTACCATTGCATCCTATTGGCAATGGCAAGCTCTGAATTTAGAATACTTCTTGATTAACAAGAGAAATGCATAAAACGGATGATACTCAACAAGCATGACAGAAACAACAATTTTTGCCACACAAACACAAAATGTAACAATAATAATACTGATATAAGAGGAAAAAAAAACACTGTCCAGTTGCTTACCACTAATGAACTACGGTTAACAATACCAATAGTCCAATACACATAATTTTAGGTATTTTTCCCCTTTTTCCAAAGGGGCAATGGCGGTCCCTTTATCCAACATGGTACTGCGCCAAAATTTTCTTATCTTATAGCCACTCTTCCATTTCCACTTTTTTCCAGCTTAGTCATTTTAGGTTCTGATTACTTAGGAACTTACGGGCAAAGGAAGATAAAAATTAGATTATAGAAGATGATCCAGTGAAGGGCGGGCCTAGTGCAAGAGGTAGAGTCTTACCGCCTGTGACCGGAAGGTCCCCGGTTCGAGTCGCGGTCTCCTCGCATTGCACAGGCGAGGGTAAGGCCTGCCATCGACACCCTTTCCCTGCACCCATGACAGGCGGGAGCTCTCTGACTGGGGTCGCCTTTTTTTTTAGAAGATGATCCGATGTCGATGAATATTTTTTTTGTTTACCTACTATAGTCACAGGGTGGGTGCAAGTGGGTGCCCTTAAAGGTCTCCATCAACCCTCTTTAGTTCAGTTCGAGTACTGGTTTTCCAAAATAAATGTGCCATATTTTGGGAAAAGTAGTACTAACAATTAAATTAAATAGGGTCATGCAGATGAGACCGTGAAAGGGGGTGCAGTGTGAGTGGTGTGAGAGCTGTCTCATGGAGTCACCAGGTCGTGGGTTCAAGGCGACCTCTCCAGCAGATTTTTATGGGGAAAAGCTTGTCTCGGTTTATCCTTCCCTGCACCCACTCATGTGGGAGCCTCCGGCACTGGGTCTGCCCCCCTTTAGGGTCGGTGTAGACCCTTAGGGGCAGCAATTTGCAACCCTGTCATAATCATTTTGGGTTTTCGTTAGTTAAGGCCTTGCGGGCAAAAGAAGATAAAATCAAATTATAGAAGATGGTCCAATGGAAGTGAATAACAATTATCTGTATTGGTGGTTTGTATGGATGAGCCAATCATATACGGCCAAACCAAAGGCAAAGAAAAAAAACAATGATTAAGGTAGAGAGTGAGAAAAAAAGAGAAGAGATTGAAACAGTATTTTGATGAAGAGAACAGAACTGATGGAGATGTTCTAGCTATCATACAGATGTAGAACACACACACACACACAAAAACAAGATGTTAAGATTAGAATTTATGAACATAACTGATGGAGATGTTCTAGCTATCCATGAGCAAGCTAGATTTGCAGCATTATTCATCTTTGACATATTTGATAGCGTACCAAAAAAATACCCCGCAGATTCACAATTTTAACTGATAAGCGAGATTATTCTATGCAGTAAACCAACAAAAGTGTTGTGGTGCCTTTGGAAAGAGTAAATGCACAGTTCACTTTATTATTTCACAAGGACACATACTCATTGCATTTTCTTTTGCAAATTACATAAACAGGTTAGTCATATTATACTGAAAAGTATGTAATGAAATAAAGATACGCTGGTGAAACAATCATAGTGAAAAGGGTCATAACTCAAAACAATGGAAAGAAACATTACCCGAGCACGCATTGCAACAGCACGCCCACGGCCAACTCCAATAGCCGATCCTTTGCCCTACATTTGACAAAACAAGCAAATTATGTACCATCTCACCATTAGTTTCTCACAGCAAGACACTAAGCGATACAGGGAGTCATCAGTCACAAACCCTAATCCTCGCTTCCAAGCGCTTGAACATGGGGGCGTTCTTGAGCATATCAGGTATAATCATAAATCTGTAACATAACAGCAGAAAAACCCACACACAGAAAAAAAATTAGGCCACCACAACTCAACAACATTGCATCACGAAATAAATCTAGCTTTTCGATTACCTCACTCTGCTTCCTCTGATGAAGACGTGCTCCAGCTGCGACACCTTCCCATCCTGCAGATTAATCAACAGAGAGGAAGAAAAAAAATACTCAGGGGACCAGAATCCATGGGGATCTAGCTCAGATCCAAAGGTAGCGCGGGCACCGAGAGCATACCTTGGCGGTGAAGGTAATGTTCTCGAGCTGGCAATTCCAGTTATCCTCGCACTCGACCATGGACCCCCGGTACACTTCGCCGGTCTTGAGCTCCACTGTCACCACGTGACCCGCTGCCTCATGGAGCAACTTCACCGGGATCCCTAGGCTCCGGCTCATCTTCCCCTTTCCGTCTCCCTCTCGCTGGCTCTCTTTCCCCCTCCTTTTGCGCCGCTAAAACCCCAGCTCGTGGAAACAGGAGGCGGCACGAGACGAAGCGAGGCGGACCAAGAGCGAAGGGAGAAGAAAGGAAAGGAAACAGGCAGGCTTGGATCTTAACGGGCCGTTTGTTACGAGACGAGCCCAAATTTGAGAGGAGGGGAGCCCGGCCCAAGTCGCCGCGAAAACGACCGCACCGAATCGCTTGCCGATGAAGCAAATCGCCCCCAGACGAAGGCCGTGTTTAGATTGAAAAAAATTTCAACCCGATGAATAGTAGTATTTTCGTCTTATTTGGTAAATATTGTCCAATTGTAGATCAACTAAGCTCAAAAGATTCATCTCGTGATTTCCAACTAAATTGTGCAATTAGTTATTTTTTTTACCTACATTTAATGCTCTATACAAATGGCTAAAAATTGATGTGACGGAAAGAGAGTGACAAAACTTGGAATTTTGAGGGTATATAAGGCCGAAGGAAAGAAAAAGAAACCGATGCGACGCGTCTTCAATCCACCTGTCAGTGATCCGTCCACGGTCCACCTGTAGAAGCCGAACCAACCCCCACCACATTCATTCCGCTCCCCAGCCGTACGAACTCGCAGATCGGAGAGACCAAGGCGCCCGCGGCTTTGCTTTCCTTCCCTGCCCCGTTCACGAGAGAAGTTCCTAGAGTGTTCGAGTCGAGCAGGGTTCCGATGGCGCTGCAGTGGATGATCCTGGCGTGCGTGGTGGCGGTGGAGGCGGCGGTGGCTGCGCTGGTCACGCTCCCGGTGCCCCGCGCCGTGCGGGGCCAGATCGTCGCGCTCACGTCCTTGTTCCTGCAGCCCCTCTCCAGCGTGATACCCTTCGCCGCCTTCCAGCTCCTCGGTGCGTGCGTCGCCGCCTCCCCGACACCCCGACCTTCTGCTTGCTACCCCGTTTCGGGCTCTGACTTGTTTTTTTTTCCCTGATGTGGGTGCAGATATCTACTGGAAGAAGGAGCACAGGCTGATGTGCACCTCGGAGATTTGCACCGCCGAAGAGCGCATTCACTTCGAGAAATCTGTGAGTGATTGAATCCCTTCCATGTTTAGATTTGTGTGGTGCTTCTAGGGTTCTGCTTTTCCTGCTTAGCTTTGTAAATCTGAAATATGTAGTGATTGTTTCCCCCTTGATGAGGCTCAGTTGTTTAGTTGGTCTGTATCGGTTCTACTGCCTTAGATAGAAAAGCGTGAGGTGGCCAAGTATTTTGTAAAGTTTTAGTGATTCTCTCAATTTGATTTTGATATGCCAGCTTCGTTAGATGATTACTTTCGAAACTTTAAATGGCTCTGGAAAGAAGCAAAGTTTTATTTTTTAGTATATATAAGTTAGAGAACCAGAAACTAGGAACCAGACAAGATGCAGAAGCAAAATTGGAATATGGATAATCATGTTTTTTGAGGCAATGTGGCGTCCTATAGCACTGGAGGTACGCCTGGACGCCTAGGTGCCTTCTAGGTGACGCCTAGGTGAATGCCATAACTAAAACCCTGTGGCGTCCTTTGACACCTGAGGTATGTCTCAACGCCTAAGCAACGACTCAAAAACCATGTGGGTAACAGAGGAAACAAACATAGTCTAGTATGGGTCGTATAACCACTCAGCTTTCATTCTATGGCCACCATGCAAGTAACGGGCTCAAAACCATGGCAGTCTAACATCTCATAGATTATAAGAGGCTTGTCTATCAGCTACATTTCTAGAGGAACTTAATGTTTTCTCATTTGCTGCAGACATCTTGTTAGATGTCATAAGTGACAAGTTCATTTGCAGCTACACAGCACCAACTCAACTGATGTCAACATTTCTTAAAAGGACACCAATCTTCCTAAACATATTCCATATTTCTGTCCTGTAACGTTGTATGTACCTGTGTTAAGAACTAATAAGCGTATATATATACATTATATCCTGCATAACTATGCAGGTTGCATGATAATTACCACCGTTGTGGCATGTTTGAGAGGAAAAAATAATAGCAGATATACCCCTTAATTTGTATATGATAATTTGAAAAAGTAAGTTCTATTCTATATCAGCATTTGCAACCATTATCCATACATTTCACATAAGCTTTCTACAATATTACATTCACAAAAAGGGCACAGTCTATTATCAAGCTTCCATAAATTAACCCACCTTTAAAACAAACAGCCTGCATGGTGACAGTGGACACTACTGCCACTGAGTTATCTCTGCCATTGGAATGTTTTCTCTCTTTGTAACATTTGTGGCTCTACCATTCATTTTCTTGTGCGCAGTTTAACGGCTGTGAAACTTTTATAGACTTAGCTTTCATGTTTTGTGATTTTGTGATTTTCGAATGTGATTTTTGGTCGTCTTCTAGTATGTTTGGTAACGGGGATCACCCACACCCCTTCAGAAAATTATGAAGTTATGGCCAATAGCTTGTCCATATCAACCAATTATATTGCTGCTTTTTCAGCCTCTCGTAGGAAGGGAGTTTTACTATTAGTTTCTTTAGTTCCTCTGTGTCTCAATGATATTTTTTTCTTGCACAGATGTTTAAAGCTCAGAGGAATGTCATCCTTTGTGTTTCAGCATGCCTCCTTTACTGGTAAAGTTTCTCATCAGCAGAATCTGCTTTGTTGACTTCCCATGAGTGTCCGTCTTGTCTTAATTTTAACTATTTATTATTTGTTTTCTGGTACAGGTGCATTTATCGTATAGTAAAATTCAACAAGGATATTAAGGCATTGGAAGAGACCGAGAAGCGCCTCAAGGAAGAGTAGATCTCGTGTTTTAAGGTTAGTTGTTTTAGTGTGATTCAATGCGTATTAGGTTTTCCAGTTCTCCTCAGCAGTGAATTTGTAAGGATGTCAGATGGTGATTAGTTTGATGTTGCCTTGACCACGCTTTCATTAGTAAAGAAGCCCTTCAGCACTTGTAAGTGTTGGCCAAACCAGAGTTAAAATGTTGAAAAAATTGCCTGTGTCACTCCCCATGAACCCTTTTTCTAACATACCACTCCCTAAATTCGGTTTGCTATTTTAGCACTCCTTCCTTTCTAGTCCATCATCTGTGGATTTCTCACCATTATTACCTTTCTGAAATGAGCACATCCTCTCCCTGTATTTGCCCTCTCTGCTGTCCAAGCTCCAGGTGTGGAAACCAAATAGATTTCCGGTGAGCTCAAGCCATGTTCTCCGCAGATACAGCTGCACGGTGGGCAGCTTGGATGGAACCTCAGGTGCGGGATCAAGCTTTCAGCGATGTGTTGAGCTTGGGCACACCAACACACCAGCTGCAAAAGGACCACCAACCCACGCTGAGCTCATGTAGTTGGAGTTGCTTCACCTCATAGTGGTCGTGTGCAGCAAAGTGGTTTGTGGTGCATGTGCCGCATGAATTCAAGGTGCAGGTAGACTAAGCTGCACGAATGCTAAGGGAACCAGCAAGCTGCTACCTAGGGTGTGTCCAGGAGGGCGTTAGCGGCGGAGGGGAGGAAGACTACCAGAGACAAGATTTGATGGAATGCTAGGACGGAACAAAAATGAGTAAAAGGCTGATGAAATAGAAAATCGGATTTAGGGCGTGGTTTATGTTAGAAAAACAGTTTGTGGGAAGTCCTAATGAGGCAAGTTCTCCTTAAGGGTCTGTTTGGATAGATGAAAAACCCCTCCAATCCATACATGTTGGGAGAGATTGAGGGGGAAAATTAGTTCATTTTCCACTCCAGTCCATATGGAATGGAAGGGATTGGATTTATCCTGATAAACCCAATTCCTTCCATTACACATGGAGTGGAGTGGAAAATAATTCCATTGGGTTTGCATTGATGTGGTTTGCTGAAAAATAATTATAGGTCACCTGAAATTAGAAATTAGTTAATTGCCACCTATTTGTTGTACTACCGCTATGAAGGCTAGAATGCACACATATCTTCATTTCAACTAGAAGTTTTATAAACCATGCATGCGGCTCTGATTGGTTTTGATGTGTGCTCATGAATCTGCCTGCTTGTCCAGTATGCAACCCACTGGGTAAGGTCATCCTCGCCTCTTATTTTTACTTGTTATACCAATAGCAGTATGAGTAGCAGATAGTGCCTATGTGTTAAGCTTCAGTAAAGCATGGGGTATGGCATACATGATACATCCGCATTTCGGGCAGAGTAATGGAATTCTTCAATTATGATTACCTTTATGGGGATATCTGAGTTACATTTTTCTTGTTCTTTGCTTGATGCAGGTGGCTGTTGTGGTGCTCCTGGCCATCAGAAGATATTGTTATGCAGGTGGGGTTGTGGTGCTCCTGACCTTCAGAAGATATTGTTAAAATGTCATAGTTCGTAGGATTTCTAGTGTATAGTGTTCTTCATCAAAGAAGAGAATGTTATACTGTTTCGGCGAACATGTGAAGTATGAGTCTTATTTTTAAGAGGTCTTTATTTTTAACTTATGGTGACAGTTTTGTTATTGTGATCATTTTTAGCATCGGTCAGTCATCAAACAGTTTAAATGTTTTCTGAAATCTTGTTTAAATATCCACATGCCTTTTCTTCGTCTTGCATGCTGAACTATTCTGGTATATGTTAGTGTTTTACTTCGATCGTTTCCGTTCTCTTCGTGACGAAGTTTGCAGCAGGTGAATTAAGACCTGTTCAAACCTAGGATGGAGTAACGTAATATTTTTCGCTTGCGCTAAGTGTTTGCCGTCTAACGTACACATACATGGTGCCCATCAGCAAACATGTCCAACTTGACCCGGCTGTCACTGGACGATCCAGTGGTCATGATCAATTTATCCAGTGCACTAAAAAAATTCAATTCTGGCGCTGTTTGAAATCTGATCTTGTCCCAATCAACTTCTTGAAACCCTAGACTAATTCTCCATCTGTTTTAGCCACTCTTAATCAACTTTATTCGGAGTAACTCTCACATTTGTATCAAAATGCTTTTGATCAAGCCACTAATCTTGACCCACTTAATAGTACGACTAAATATAAACAAAAGCCCTAACACTAAGTGCTCCCAAACACATGCACTTCGACACTACTGTGTCCTCGAATATCCTTGTTTCATTCACATAATCCAATCACTAAGGGGCAAGAAAACCAAGTTTGGTCTCAATGTGGCAAACCCTTTGTCATATTGACCCGCAAAACAAAGGTCGCCACATGTTTTTGTTTTCATAAATCACCGAAAATTAAAGTAGGGGACTCAATGCGTTCAACCTCAGCCATCCGTTGATGTATAGGGGTTGATCAAATAATTAGTTTGCAGGTGATGAACACAACAATATTACAATAGAGCGGCAGCCGGTCTGTATTGGGTGTAACCCGCTTTGCGTGAATAGTTTTTGACAAATTCGATGTACTGACTTGTTTTTCTGTGAATTCTTTTTAGTGTTGGAGGGAAGAACTCATTGAGCTCAATGTTGTTTATGTGAATCCGATGCATGTGTTTCTCCATCGTCGGATTATCCGATGGACACATTTTGTCTCACTTTCAAAGGGTCACTAACAAAACACTATATGATCATATGAGCACAGTTGAAAGAATCAACTAGACCCAAAGGGGTGAATAGGCTAGGATTAAAATTTAGACCCAGAGGGGTGAATAGGCTGTTTTAACACTAACGGCTAGTTTTTTTTAAAGGAGTCAACTATTGGTGCCCTTGGAGTACTATACTCATTCAAAAATCAGTAGAGTTCTCTCAATCTCTATTTGTGCATTTTTTTACTTGTGCTTGACTCGATATGTTTGGGTATGCTTGTTTCTGTGTGCATATGATGTGTGACTAAGTTTGTTGGGATAAAAAAGAAACACCTCTACGTTGCTGCTGGCCTGAGAGGAGAGGAAAAGAAAGGCTATAGCAAGTTGCAACCCGAGGCTTCAATATAGCCTCGGTTTGGAAAGATTTGAGTTCCTTAAAATAATCATCCTTTGAAATTGATTTTTTTGTTATTTTTATCTTTGCCAGAACATTTTTATAAGGTTCATACTCTAATCCTTGTGTAATATGGGAGAAATATAATCATGGGATAAACCTCCGAAGACTAGAGTTGAGGTAGGCACAGGCGCTATCTGCTTCACGGCAAAACATGAAAAGGACCGGGGAGGTGGAAGTTGGGGACACTTGGACCGGGTCGTTGTGAACCTCGTCGAGCTGTCACAGGGGACGCGGAGGCGCCGGCCCGCCGGGTAGTCCTGCCTGTTTGCTTCAGAAACCGTCGGGGCGTACGCCGGCCGAAAAGGCGACGACGACCTCGTCTTCCTCGGAAACACGCGTGCGGACTGCGGCGTACCGACGAAACCGTGTCCCTCTTCGTGGCATCGGAGGAAGACGGCCGGAGAAGAAGAAAACGCGCAGATCACACGTCCGCACCGTCCCAGCTGCTGTGCTGGACGATGGAGTGGTAGGAGTTCGGAAGCAGGCAGGCATACCCACTCGTTCGTTCGCTGTGTGATTGCTGCGACCTGCGAATAAAGCTTGTCGTACGGTGCATGTGAAATTACGAATGCGTCTGCATGCTAACAAAATGCTTTGCACATATATGATATATGCCGTGCACATGCTAACAAGTAACAAATAAACTACTAGTACTGTACGATGTAAGGTACAAGGTGCTTAGCTCCTGGCCTTATTAATGGAAGTTCACTATTAGTGGAAAATAAAGAACAAAAACGTTGCTGCATCTTCGGTCACAGAATGTGTGCAGGACACAGAATATTTTATGTTGCCAGAGGAGCGCGTGTGCGTATTGCGAATATGACAGCGACTAAAGGAGCCTCGTCGGTCTGAACCTACTTCCCAACAGAGACCGGGGATTGACCAATCAATCATTCCCACGTACAGTTCAAACAAACATACTGCCAATATTTATAAAAAAAATCATGAGACCAAAGATTCAATCTAGTGGACGTCCAGAGGGAGAATTTGAAATGTTAGGTAAATTTTACCTTCATTTGATTTACACGCATGCAGCAGATTGGACCAAGAATACGGCTGAATGGGAACACGCGAAGATGCATGCATGAACTGACTCCACCGCCAATGGCATTATTTGTCTATAAACAGGGTTAATAGTGTCCCGAGTCCCCAAATGTTGGAAGGTCGTGAAGGTTGTGTGCCGTCTGCACATCTAGAATGCGGAGGTAGTGTTGGTCTTCCGCTGGAATTTTTTTATTTTATTATTATTATTTATTTTGTAATTTAAAAAAATATAGTAAAAAAAACTAAATCAGTCTTCCCGTGGATGAAAAGCACTAAGGCCACTCCCAACCCAGACTCTACCCATAGAGTCTTAACATCCAAGACTCTATCACAAGAAACCATGATCCCCAATGCAGAACTTATAATAGTAGTTTCTATAGATAAAAACATTTATTACTCAACACAAATAAAGGTGATCAGCTGTGGCATAAACTGTGTGACCCACCCTACACCTCTTAACAATATCACCATCCGCATACATGATATATATCATCAGAAGCAATATGTGAATGAACTCAACGCATACAATATATCAGTTAGCCAGCAAAGATACTCTACACAGAACTTCAATGAAAGTTTAGATAAGTTAGCCACGAGTCATCCATTACAATAGCAATAAGGATATAAATATAGCATGCATCATGACTGAGACTGGCGTCCATTACAATTAGACCAGAAATATAGATAGGAAAACCAAAATAATTAGATAATAGTATTTAGATAATCTCCAGCCGTGGCTTTAGAAGTCTTCCTGCCTACGGAAAACAATCCATTATCCTCCAGATAGAAACCA